AGGAAATTTCTGCATGCAAATGCATCGGGGCACGATCGCCAAAGTAGCTGTAACAAAAAATCAGATTGAAAGCCGACATTAAAGCATCCGGGTGTGTCTAAGAGAAGTGCTAGCGAAGTTGTCTATTTTAAAAGTTTTTTTTGATTCCCGCTTAAACGGATTCATCTAACCAGAATCCGCTTCGAATCCTGCTATTTGAGGTGAGTGGTTGCAAAGAGTTAACCGAATGCCTTGGTACAGCTAAACTTTTGGTTAATACGTAACTTAAAGAAAAGTGATGCGAAAAAAAAAAAAAAATAAATAAATAATAATAATTTGATCAAAATGAAAGTTAACAGAAGTGCTGAAAAATAAATTAAAATTAAATTAAATTAAATTAACTCAAATAAAATTTAAATTAAATAAGATTTAATAAAATAAAAGTAAATTAATTTAAACGAAATTAAAATCAAATTAGCTTAAAACGGAAGTAAATTAAAATAAGCAAAATTAAATACTTTTAAATTAAATTAAATTTAGTCAATAATAATCAAATAAAGTACTAATAATAATTATAAAGTTTCGATTACTAAACTAAAGAAATATAATAAAAGCCAAATGAAACCAATTAAAAGTCGGTGCTTGCGTGGGCATATGTATGTATGTGCCTGTGTATGCCTGAGCACATACATATTCACTTAGAAACATAAACGTACTTGACCACAATAATATGCACGCGCAAGTATAACTTCAACCGTTCAACAACCAAAAGTTAGCAACGACAACAAAAACAAAAAAGCAGATCGTATAAAGGGAACCAATTTTGCAGGTTGTCATCAGGCAGGAGGACCCAAGGGGCCCAGAACCTATAATTGCCGACTTAGGTCATTTTACGGCCAAGCAGTACAATTGCGATAAAGACACAGCTGATCACCTTTGCAGAAGTTAACGACCGCAAGTATATAGAGGAGGATTAAAAGTTAGATTCCTCACCGTGGAAACAGAAAGAAGGAGAGGGAGAACAACATACATACATATATACATACGCACATACACCCGCTGATGGAGTACTGGACTTCGCACGGGAAACGCTTGAGCCAGCACTTCCACGCGCTCATGTCACGGCTCTCTGCGGATCGAGCAGATTCCAGAAAACGGAGTGACTCACCACGCCGACCACCACCATCCTCCGAGTATTTGCCTTGTTGTTGTTTTTTTTTTTGGACTAAGTTGGGAATAGTTTTGATGGCCCGAACGTAACCTAACTTTTGGTTAGCTTACATACATATGAATGTAATTTCCTTTTTTTTCACTAATTTCTCGCCACAGGAATTTTTACTTACTCACTAATTTATCCACAAGCTGCATGCTCTAATTTGAAGTCAAAATAGTCGCGTTAGTTCCCAGAATTAAAAATTAGTTGGTGCATATGAGCACCATTTTCCGGGACGAGTAGTTTTTGTTGGTAATTTTCTTTGCGCACAATTACACAATTACATAGTTATACATATATAGTTACTTTATCGAGCTTTTATATGCATTTTGTTTTATTAGTAATTAGTTAGGCCGATCATACTTGAAGATAGACATGTTTATTAAGTTTTTTTGTCTGTAATTTAAAAATAGTCTGGTAGGCAGCCAGAAACGTGGCGATCATCACAGGGGAGTATTAATATCTAATTGACCATTCCTAGTCCATGCGTAGTGAACCCCAAAAATATTCCCACTCAATTACTCTCGCTAGGTATTGGAAGTCTTTTGCCTTTTATTCTCTTTCAGCTGAACCATATCTCCTGTATGCAGGCGCCTACATCACACGTGAGATTGGTAAGTGCTAGAACGTTAGCTTATGTACAAAGTTACAAATAGAAATATACATACACATGAACATACCTAGTCACTAAAGCTCGTCGGCGATTTCAAGCATCCGTTGTTGGTTACCCCAGCAACCGAGGCAATCGGAGATCGTCGTGTCACACGTACTTGTTGTCGGCTCGTGTTGATGGAAAATCAAAAATTTTTGATTTTCCATCAACGCGACCGCTTGACAAGCGGTCTGTTTGATAGTGGCGCAAAGCGTTGACAAGCATTAGTGTGTTAGTTTGTTGTGATATGTAAAATGAGCAAGTTCGCGGAAGATAAAGATTTTAAGATTTTATTGCAAATGGTGTTGACGCTTTATGCTTGTGTGTCGCCGGGCAAGCTTCAAGCACCCGACATTCAACCCGACACTCACACATGTACTCGTTGCTGGGGTAACCAACAACGGATGCTTGAAATCGCCGACGAGCTTTATATACATTCACTAATTGTATTCATACAAGAATACAAGTTGTAGAGAAGATAAGAGCAGGAGATTTTTGGGGATTATATACAGCGACGGGCGAAACACTAGAAACTCGCTAAACTAAATTGAGTATTTTTGAGATGGGACATATGTCGCACCACACTTATTTTCATCTTGTGTTACCATTTTAATTAATTTTTTTTTTTTTTGATTCGTTTTTTTTTTTTATTATCACATTTGAGGATTACACCCTAAACACATATGTACACATATAGTATATGAATTAGGTTATTCGGAGTTTTTTTGTTGAAGTTGCATTTTTTTATTATTATCAGTATAATGAGTTACATGAAGGAATTGAATTTTGTTAATTGTTGAATGGGAATATACGTATGTACATAGGAGAGTGAACCTTTAAATATAGTAATAAGTTTAGTTGGTATAGATTTTTTTACTATAGATATTGAACTCAAATTTAGTGGAAATAGGAACTGTATCAGGACTTGGATTTGTAGTTAGGTAATAGATTTGTAAGTTTTTTTTTGTAATAAAGAGCATGTAAATCCGTGATAGAAAAAAAAAATAATATGATTTGCTAATTTTGTAGTTGTTTGGTGTGGGTGTTGCACTGGTGCAACAAGAGGGGAAATGGGTGGCGCGACGCAATGTCTGGGATGACAGGGACATGACTGGACACTAGACAGACGGAAACCGGTCAGGCTTAGGGGACTCAGCCAATCGTTGGAGTCACGGCAGGGTCCAAGGCTACAGAAAAAAAAATTTTAGAAGGGGTGGGTGACTCCACCTGACCAGGACGGGCCTATTTCTATCTTCTTCAGCTTCCCCTCTATTGTTTGATTTAGTATTCTGACTACAACCAGGCATGATTACTATTGTTTGTTAGTGTCAGCTGCAGGTAAGATGGTTGGAGATGACCCCCCCGCCGACGAGCTGAGCCTGGGCTAGCGAGCATGCCTGTATGCCAACCAACCTTACCCCAACAGTCAGCGACATAACAATGTGGCAACCCTACTGAATATAGTTCTGAATAAAGCCTTTCATACGTATTTCGATTGATACCAATCCCTTCAAACACCTCAAAAATAGCTAAAGAAATATTCAAACTAAGGATTTCTTAACACTCATACGTTTCGACTTTTCAAACAGGGGGCAACCCTTGCGAAAAAATTAAAATGTATTGCACATCTATAGGCCAAGCTCTTGGCACCTTTTTTTTGTAAATTGAACTACCTGGGCAAATCTGATGTCATTAAAA